TTTTTTTAGGTCAATAAATATCCCCATCGTGTATTTCTTCTCATCCATAGCACTTGTAATGTCCTCCATCAGGTCGGTAATGGCTAAAGATGTCGATCGGTTCAACCTAAAACCGTATTGGCAATCAGAGAGGATTTTATGTTTGTCAATAAATGTATCTAATCTGTTATTAAAGAGTTTTTCCAGAATTTTTGAAAATTGTGACAACAGAGAAACCGGTCTATAATTTGTGAAGTTGGGTTTATCACCAGATTTATACAATGGAATAACCTTTGCTATTTTCATATTATTGGGGAACTGCCCAAGTTATACTTAGAGAGTGAAATGCAGGTTTTTTTGACACAGTATCCTGTGGCATTCTCAACTCACCAGCGCTCCCTCTAGGCATGTAGCATAGTTGTAACCTCGACCCATGACCAGAAGAGACCTTTGCTGATACAACTCCTCTGCAATCGTTTTTATCTTCTCATCCAGAGTCAGCACCTTCTTTATCATTTCTAGGAGGGTAGAAGTAAAATGAGTTGAGGTGAATGTATTGTGCTGGGCCTAAAAGTACAGATTTTACACAGACAATGCAGTATCTGTTAATGTGGTTTGCATCTGTCTGTTTCTAATATTTAAAGACACCATGTGCTCACGCTGAGATGACTTTCTGTGTGATTTAGTGGTGTTCATTAGACTACTAACCAGGTAGCACTTTGAGGCTGTTGATGATCTCCAGTCTTCTGTTCTGCAGAGAGAGCCTGTCCTCACTCATCATCAGGCCAAACATGATGAGGGCCACAAACTGACTGGTGTAGGCCTGCATCACACACATAATAAACAATCATATACTGTAGTCCCAAGCTGTGCTGAACATTGTGTCAGAACATTCTACAAGATCCTTCCCAGTTTATATTAAGTAGGAAAGAAGGGTTTATTGTGTGTTGTGTCCCCTCCTTGAACCGCCACCTTATTGTGGTAGAGGGGTTTGAGTACCCGAGTGATCGTAGGAGCTATGTTGTCGGGGGCTATATGCCCCTGGTAGGGTCTCCCAAGGCAAACAGGTCCTAGTTGACGGGCTAGACTAAGAGCGGTAACGTGATGCGCCCGGTGTGGCACAACCGGGGCCCCACCCTGGAGCCAGGCCTGGGGTTGGGGCTCGAATGTGAGTGCCTGGTGACTGGGCCTTTGCCATGGGGCCCGGCTGGGCTTAGCCCGAACAAGCGACGTGGGGACGTCCTCCCATGGGCCCTCCACCTGCAGGAGGATTCGTAAGGGGCTGGTGAGAAGCGGCGGGCTGGTGTGGGCTTGCTTATAACCCCCCAGCTTAGCCGCCATGTGTTGGAGTTTACCCCGGTGAACGAGAGGGTAGTTTCCCTGCACCTTCGGGTCGGGGATAGGTCTCTCACTGTCGTTTGTGCCTATGGGCCGAACGGCAGTGTAGAGTACCCGGCCTTCTTGGGGTCTGTGGGAGAGGAGCTGGAAAGTGCTCCGACTGGGGACTCCGTTGTTCTCTTGGGGGACTTCAACGCTCACGTGGGCGATGACAGCGATACCTGGATACCTGGAGGGGCGTGATTGGGAGGAACAGCCCCCCCCCCCGATCTGAACCTGAGCGGTGTTCTGTTACTGGACTTCTATGCTAGTCACAGTTTGTCCATAAGAAACACCATGTTCAAGCATAAGGGTGTCCACCAGTACACGTGGCACCAGGACACCCTAGGCCAGAGGTTCATGATCGACTTTGTGGTTGTTTCACCTGACCTCCGGCCATATGTCTTGGACACTCGGGTGAAGAGAGGGGCGAAGCTGTCAACTGATCACCAACTGGTGGTGAGTTGGTTCTGATGGTGGGGGAGGAAGCTGGACAGACTCGGCAGACTCAAACATATTGTGAGGGTCTGTTGGGAATGTTTGGCAGAACCCCCTGTCCAGGAGATCTTTAACTCCCTCCTCCGACAGAGCCAACGACCAAATCCTGAGGGAGAATGGAGACACTGAGTCCGAATGGACCATGTTCTCCACCTCCATTGCCAATGCGGCCGCTTGTAGCTGTGGCCATAAAGTCTCTGGTGCCTGTCGTGGTGGCAATCCCCGAACCCGGTGGTGGACACTGGAAGTAAGGGATGCCGTCAAGCTGAAGAAGGAAACCTTTCGAGCCTGGTTGGCTCGTGGGACTCCTGAGGCAGCTGATGGGTACCGGCAGGCCAAGCGGACTGCAGCCCGGGTGATTGTGGAGGCAAAAACTCGGGTATGGGAGGAGTTCGGTGAGGCCATGGAGAGAAACTATCGGTCGGCCTCGAAGAAATTCTGGCAAACTGTCCGGCGCCTCAGGAGGAGGAAGCAGTGCCCTGCCAAAACTGTTTACAGTGATGAGATCTGCCTGAGTACCTTACATCTCTGGATGTTGTGGGGCTGTCTAGGCTGACACGCCTCTGCAACGTCGCATGGCAGTTGGGGATGGTGCCTCTGGACTGGCAGACCGGGGTGGTGGTCCCTCTTTTCAAGAAGGGGGACCGGAGGGTGTATTCCAACTACAGGGGGATCACACTCCTCAGCCTCCCTGGGAAAGTCTATGCCAGGGTACTGGAGAGGAGAATTCGACC